TAGCGAGGACCTCGGTATCCGTGTCTTGCCACCTGATGCCGAGGAGTTTCCTGGGGCAGGTTGTGTGAAAATGATTCAGTTTCTTGGCGTGACGCTGGTAGACTGTCCACGTTTCACATCCGTAGAGCAATGTCGAGAGGACTGCTGCGCTATAGACCTTGATCTTCGTTTCTCGTCTGATACCTCTCCTGTCCCAAACAGTGCTGCGGATCCTCCCAAATACGGCACTAACTTTTGCGAGTCTGCCATTCATTTCATCATCCATGACGACAGATTTAGAGAGGGTGCTGCCCAAGTAAGTAAATTTATCCACCGGGTTGAGACCCTGTCCACTGATGATGGTGTTGGGTTCAACGTTTACATGTCTTCAGATAACAAAGTACGCTAGCGCACCTGCATATTTACAGCCTTTGTTTCGAGTGGTGAATGTGTCTCATAATAGCAATAAAGTTAAATTTGCTTTGGAAACTTTTCGTTCCATGTCACCATCATACACCATCGTCTCTGTGTCAATGGACGTTGAAGATAAGACCTATACTTTGCTTGGGAATTAAAGCATAGGACATTCTTGTTTCTAACTTATATTTTCTTTGCACAGTCAGTTTTTTCAATGGCGGATTGATACACACTTACAAACACGCACTTCGTGTAGGATCAAGATTCTTTAGACCCAGCAACAGCAGACAACAAATCAACACAAACCAAGGCACCATCGGGTAAACACGATTAGCAAACCTTGATGGTGGCTTATAACTTATTTAAAAGTGGTCTAAACTGAGTCAATCCCAGTAAAAGCATAGACAAGCAAAAACAACACCAGCATCCCGAGGGGATGGGCTTCATTAACCTTGGATGGCAACTCGTCTAGGAGAAGGTGAACTCTGACGTCAAACACTGAGATGGAGTCCCGTAGGCGGTAAGGCACAATACAAATTCCAACTTCTGCGACGTGGAACGCATAAGAGCTCAGGGAGACACAAGAAACACTGCTGGTCATGAACTGCACCCTGGTCTGCTTCCAGTCGTCTTGACCAAGTCTTGCCGTTGGAACAAATGGGCAAGGACGAGAGAGTGAGGCTGACGAACTCTCCCTCACTTTAAACAAAAATACAGCAACAATCAAGGCGACTATTCAAGTCGAAACCTTGGTCATCTTCGCATGCGAAAGTCAAACTATATATATATAAGTCATGAATGTCTGTATGTATGTATGTCCCGTATGCGCTCCTATACCATTCATGCGATTGCCATCAAACTTTAGTGAGTTGTTGCCCACAAGCCCCGCGCATTTTCCTGAGTCATTACAATTCTTTTAAAGTATTCCGCTTTTGGCTGTTGGCCCTAAATTCGTTGTTGTTTTTTTTCCGCTTAATGAGCTGTGTATATCAATATGCGCTCCTATACCATTTATCCGATTGCGATAAAACTTTGTTGAGCTGTTGTGCGCACGCCCACAAAGGTCTCTGAATAATTATAACCACTTTAAAATATTCCGTTTTGAGCCAGGGGCCCTATATTCGTTTTTTATTATATGAGCTATATATATTTAATATTCGTATGCGCTCCTATGCCATTCATTCGATTGCCCGCAGAAAACTTTCTAGGGGGGGGCAAAAAAATCAATTAACTTTCGAGGGGGGGGGGATTTTAACAATGTTTTAATATAGTTTTAATTTACTGTAGCGTATTTGTATGGTAAACCAACGGACAGGACATCAGCTTAGTTTCTTTCTCTTTATTTTCTCTTTACTTTAATAAATTTTTGGTCTATTTTTGTCTAAAAAAATTTTATCCAATCAATCCAGGGAGCGGGCAAGTGCCCCCCACTTGCCCCTACCTGCGGGCGCCCATGTCCGATTGCGATAAAACTTTGTTGTGCGCACGCTCGCAAAGGTTTGTGAATTCTTACAACCATTTTAAAATATTCCATTTGGAGCCAGGAGCCCTAAGTTCTTTTTATTTTTTTATGTGAGCTATATAAATATAATTTCAAACAGAGCTAATGCATGGGTGGATGGAATTTTAATCAAATACAAATAGTGACATTTCAGTTTGTGTGTGACATAATAAATTGGTTTCTGAATTAGTACAACCCTTAAAAATAATTATGTTCAGGGCCAGAGGCTCTAAATTCGTTTTTAGCTTATATCAGCTATATAAATATAATTTTCGTATGCGTCCTTATACCATTCATCCGATTGCAATAAAACTTTGGTGAGTGTTATGCCCACGCCCGCTAAGGTTTCTAAACTAGTACAACCGTTTTACTATGTTCCGTTTGGACGAATCAAATGTTCATCAAATTTCGTTTTGAACGCACTTTACTATAAAGTAAAACAAAATCATGCGTTCAAAAATGAATTGGACGCAATATTTGTTCAAAAATGAATTGGACGCAAAATTTGATCGTGTGAACTGAAAATCAAATTCGATCAAATTTTCGTTCGACCAAACTTCCGTCGTCGAAATTTCTTTAAAACAAATTTCCGGATACGCATTGGAACGCATGCCGGTTTCTCGCTAGTATATACATATTAATGAAGCAAACTGGGATCACAAAACTTCACAGCCTCGTGGCTACAACCTCCAAGGTTGTAATAGGAGTCAAATCCAGTGACACTGGATTCCAGACGTCTTAATTGCTTTATTACACCTGACTTCTTCTTCTGAATTCTTATATTACTCCAGACTTCTTCTTCTGAATTCTTATATTGCTCCAGACTACTTGTTATGAATTCTTATATTGCTCCAGACTACTTGTTCTGAATTCTTATATTGCTCCAGATTACTTGTTATGAATTCTTATATTGCTCCAGACTACTTGTTATGAATTCTTATATTGCTCCAGACTTCTTTTTCTGAATTCTTATATAACTCCAGACTTCTTCTGAATTCTTATATTGCTCCAGACTACTTGTTCTGAATTCTTATATTGCTCCAGACTACTTGTTATGAATTCTTATATTGCTCCAGACTACTTGTTATGAATTCTTATATTGCTCCAGACTACTTGTTCTGAATTCTTATATTGCTCCAGACTACTTGTTATGAATTCTTATATTGCTCCAGACTTCTTTTTCTGAATTCTAATATAACTCCAGACTTCTTCTGAATTCTTATATTGCTCCAGACTACTTCTTATGAATTCTTATATTGCTCCAGACTACTTGTTCTGAATTCTTATAATGCTCCAGACTTCTTTTTCTGAATTCTTATATAACTCCAGACTTCTTCTGAATTCTTATATTGCTCCAGACTACTTCTTCTGAATTCTTATATTGCTCCAGACTACTTGTTCTGAATTCTTATATTGCTCCAGACTACTTGTTATGAATTCTTATATTGCTCCAGACTTCTTTTTCTGAATTCTAATATAACTCCAGACTTCTTCTGAATTCTTATATTGCTCCAGACTACTTGTTATGAATTCTTATATTGCTCCAGACTACTTGTTGTGAATTCTTATATTGCTCCAGACTACTTGTTATGAATTCTTATATTGCTCCAGACTACTTGTTCTGAATTCTTATATTGCTCCAGACTTCTTTTTCTGAATTCTTATATAACTCCAGACTTCTTCTGAATTCTTATATTGCTCCAGACTACTTCTTCTGAATTCTTATAATGCTCCAGACTTCTTTTTCTGAATTCTTATATAACTCCAGACTTCTTCTGAATTCTTATATTGCTCCAGACTACTTCTTCTGAATTCTTATGTTGCTCCAGACTACTTGTTCTGACTTCTTATATTGCTCCAGACTTCTTTTTCTGAATTCTTATATTGCTCCAGACTTCTTCTGAATTCTTATATTGCTCCAGACTACTTCTTCTGAATTTTTATATTGCTCCAGACTACTTGTTCTGAATTCTTATATAACTCCAGACTTCTTCTGAATTCTTATATTACTCCAGACTTCTTCTTCTGAATTCTTATATTGCTCCAGACTACTTGTTATGAATTCTTATATTGCTCCAGACTACTTGTTATGAATTCTTATATTGCTCCAGACTACTTGTTCTGAAATCTTATATTGCTCCAGACTTCTTTTTCTGAATTCTTATATTGCTCCAGACTTCTTCTGAATTCTTATATTGCTCCAGACTACTTCTTCTGAATTTTTATATTGCTCCAGACTACTTGTTCTGAATTCTTATATAACTCCAGACTTCTTCTGAATTCTTATATTACTCCAGACTTCTTCTTCTGAATTCTTATATTGCTCCAGACTACTTGTTATGAATTCTTATATTGCTCCAGACTACTTGTTCTGAATTCTTATATTGCTCCAGACTTCTTTTTCTGAATTCTTATATAACTCCAGACTTCTTCTGAATTCTTATATTGCTCCAGACTACTTGTTATGAATTCTTATATTGCTCCAGACTTCTTTTTCTGAATTCTAATATAACTCCAGACTTCTTCTGAATTCTTATATTGCTCCAGACTACTTCTTATGAATTCTTATATTGCTCCAGACTACTTGTTCTGAATTCTTATAATGCTCCAGACTTCTTTTTCTGAATTCTTATATAACTCCAGACTTCTTCTGAATTCTTATATTGCTCCAGACTACTTCTTCTGAATTCTTATATTGCTCCAGACTACTTGTTCTGACTTCTTATATTGCTCCAGACTTCTTTTTCTGAATTCTTATATTGCTCCAGACTTCTTCTGAATTCTTATATTGCTCCAGACTACTTCTTCTGAATTTTTATATTGCTCCAGACTACTTGTTCTGAATTCTTATATAACTCCAGACTTCTTCTGAATTCTTATATTACTCCAGACTTCTTAAATTACTTCAGATTTCTTGTCCTGAATTCTCAAAATGTAACTCCAGACTTCTTGTTCTGAATTCGTATATATTACTCCAGACTTCTTGTTCTGAATTTTTATACTACTCCAGTCTTTTGTTGTAGTTAGAAAGTAATTAGATATTGTTTAAACAACTTATTACCTCATTTATTATGAACAGAAATAATTGGAGAACTAGGCCATTAGAAAACAGATGTTTAATAAGTTAAAAGCATTTTTTTGAATGAATACTTGATGTAAAATGTGATTATAAAAGAATTGACACAAGAACTACACAAACAAATATCAGTTAAAAGAACTGAAACATCCATAGACTACAATGAGACTAGATCAATATCAATTATAGGCCAGTATATAAATACGTCATGACACGTAAACATGCATATAAGGCTTCATCAATGAATGATTTAAGAAGGGAATTACCATGAGCTCTGGATTAGTAGAGTTGTTTAACAATATACCATAAAGCAGCGTTTCCCAAACTTTTAAGTTTGGACCAGCGGACACTTTTGGATATTGCACCAGGGACCGGTGCCGCATACATTATTTATATTTTCTTTTTATTTGACCACAAATATCCATGTGACTTGGACCGGCAACGCAAAGCTCGCGGGCCGTCAGACCACCGCTTGAGAAACGCTGCCATAGAGTGATCAAGTAGAGCAGTTGTATACCATAGAGTGACCAGCGTTTCCCAACATGGGGCAGTTTAAAGATTATGGTGGGAATGAAGTTTATTTACGTTTCATCCAACAAGGGAGGAGAAATGTGTGGGAGACATAAGAAATGTTGGACAGGGCACTACTGTTATTGATTGCAATACAAATCTATTTCACATAAAATTAGTTTTACTTTTATCCTATAACACTGAATTTTTGGACCTTAACAGACATTATTTCAAATCTCTCAGATGTGGGATAGAGACCTTTATTTTGAAGCTCTTCTATGGAGGTGGAGGGGATGTTAGGAATCACTGGTCTAGACATAACCAAATAGTTGACAAATCATATACCATAGTTCTAGACTATCCATAGACGTCATTGACTTAAGTGCATATCCTATCTCTAGACATATCCACATCAGTCTATTGCACAGCAAACTCAAAATACATATATAATATAATCATGCAGAATTTGTATGAAAAAATGGATTCCTGAAAAACATTTCATGTACTTAATTGCTTGCAAATATAAAGTACAATTTAATTTGATACAGTAAACTTACAATATAAAGTACCGTTTCTATTTCCAAGGTAACTTAAAATATTAAAGTAACATTTATATTACTAAGATCAAATGTATCTCAAATCAGGCCATGATTATTTTTCAAGTTCTATAAAAATGAGATTCTTCTTTTGAAATTTTAATTTAACTTTTTTCTAAAAGATGTTTCTTAGTTTCCCAAGACTTTAACATTGCTGGAAACCTAATTTTACATGTTTGTGTTTGTACAGCTGGCCCATTTAACTACACCATTAAACTGTCCATGTTTGTCATACAACTGGCCCATTTAACTACACCATTAAACTGTCCATGTTTGTCATACAGCTGGCCCATTTAACTACACCATTAAACTGTCCATGTTTGTCATACAACTGGCCCATTTAACTACACCATTAAACTGTCCATGTTTGTCATACAGCTGGCCCATGTCATTACAACATTTAATTTTGGCAATAAATTGTTATGTATCTTCATCATTGAATTCATAACATCTCATTTATAGCAATTCTTCCTGGTCATTTAAACTTGAACCCATTTGGAGACTAGGAAACAAGTTTGTTGGTTTTTTTAATCTCACTGCCACAAGCAGACTGAGAAAACACACAAGTTGCCTTCAAATTATTTATGATTTTAAAAATTAGAGGATACATTCTGTACAATGTAAAGTCTGCGACATAACAGTACGTCACTGTTTGCACCATGGCATGGTAAGTCTAATGTGTACATCACTTTTTGTTTCATGCTAAGCCTAACGTGTACATCACTTTTTGTTTCATGCTAAGTGTAACGTGTACATCACTTTTTGTTTCATGGTAAGTCTAACAATACATAATTTTTTTGTACCATGCTAAGTCTAACAGTATATCGTTTCTTTGTACCATGGTAAGTTTGGCAGTACATCACTTTTAGTACCATGGTAAGTTTATTAGTTAAAAAGTACCATGATAAGTCTAATGTTACATCACTTTTAGTACCATGGTAAGTTTATTAGTTAAAACGTACCATGATAAGTCTAATGTTACATCACTTTTAGTACCATGGTAAGTTTATTAGTTAAAAAGTACCATGATAAGTCTAATGTTACATCACTTTTAGTACCATGTTAAGTTTATTAGTTAAAAAGTACCATGATAAGTCTAATGTTACATCACTTTTTGTACGGTACCATGTTAAGTCAATGACATCTGCCCACCTTTCTCCAATATCACTAATAAATATATTTGATGACAACTGGCTAATATCCAAAGTGATGAGAAATATCTCATGTTTTAATTGTGAAGAGTGAGTTAGTGTGAATGTTGGATTAAAAAACTTGACCTAAAATCAGAGAAGACACAAATAAGTTATCTCAACAACGTGAGCGAGACAAAGCCAACATTGAATGTCAAAACAAATGTCAATACAAAATATGAAAAGATGAAAATATCATTAGTTTGCAATAAAACATTAACGTGTGAAATTGTTTGACTATTATTGCTATGATAATTCAACAACATGAAAGGTTATTATGCATTTTAAATAGCATTAGTCAATAACTAGAAGAAAAAGATGTTAAATAAATATTGTATAGAATTCAAAAAGAACGGGATTTCTTAAATGAATTTTTTTATTAGTCACTCAATTCCTTTTTATTTAAGTCCTTCTTTATTTTTGATGAGTATCTATTATTCTATTTTTTAGTAGTAATTTTTATTCTATTTTTGTTTTGTTGTTAAACAAATATTTTAGGAAAAGATATGACCAAAAATTTTGCACCGAGGGTCGGCACTGACGTGGCATTTCGTTAACAAGTAGCATTTAAAAAATGGCGAATTCCATTTAAAATTAAAAGCACAGGCGAATCACATTAGCTCTATGTCCCATATTTGACTACTTGAAGAGCAACAGTAGGCCCAAGTGTTTGGAAACTGCCCTTATTGTAACACAAATAATTATATAGAATAGTTATAATAATGTCTTGTTGACTGGTATATTGCTTAAAGGCACATAAATCTTGTGTGCTGCTATTATTATGGTACAAAAATAAACAAAATTAATTATCTGATGAGATTTTGATCTTTGTTAAAAGTATAAATGCAGAAAGATCCTTAAATAGTCTAAAAGACTTCAGATCCACACCAAAAAATCGATTAGCAGTACCACGATTGTGGTAAAAACTTGTTTAAAAAAAAGTAACCTAATAAAACTCAAAGAGGTTCTTTGTTCATCTGATGGACGGTCCAACAAAATAGTCCAAATATATTTTTTTAAATTGGTTTTAATTTATTAATAATAATAATGATGAAATTATTTTCAAATCTAGACAAAATAATTATTGTCATGGAGAAAAGGCCAGGCTAATTTTCTTAAAGTATTTACAAATTGTACATCCTGCTTAAGGACCTTGACATTCTAATTCTCCAACAGTACCACCTTCGGAGCACCAAGCCCACTTCATATTAATAAAAACGATCAGGATTAATATTGATTACATAATAAATGTACGATTTATTTAAGAATTTTAAAATTTTGGAAATAAAATAACTTATGGATAAATTGACATAATTATAAAATACCAGGGCGGAAAATGGTCTTAACTCAATGGTTTATGTGTGAAATAATAGACCATAACTTACGGGGTTGTTGGAGGGGACCTTTCCACTCACCAGACATAATTTATGGTATTAAAAAAAATTGTTTAAACTTAAGAAAATGTTTTTAATAAGTAAGGAAATAAAAAGAGATTAAAAAAAAAAACAAGAAACATTTGACTTAAATACCCTGATATTTTTGGTAAATAGACAACAAATTAAATCTTAATGTTCTAAAACCAACATCAGGCACATAGGAAATAAATTACAGCATGGATCATTTTCATTTTATCTCACTCATATCCTAAGTGCGGCTTGAAAGTTGCCCAAATCAAGAAAACCTAGATAGAAATCAATTTAATATGGGGAGGACTGCGTTATATAAATCAAGGTTTAAGAGAGTTATGGCAGTCCAACTTTTGGCATTCATCTCTAGAGTATCTAGCACTTGGAAAACTTAAGGCTATGTAACTATCCAAAGAAACATAATATTTTTGGAAGACGGTCAAATAATGCATTAAATAGCAGTTCCACATCATTACCAAACCACATTAAAAAATTAAATTAGCACCTTGCATTTAAATAATTGCACAATACAAAAAATGATCCCTTAAAAACTTTACAAAAACAACTCGTTAGTTACAACAGTAAAACTTAGCAGCCTGTCTTCAAAACATCTAATAAAATTAACAGGGATCGTATCTCAACAATGGTGTAACAGAAAACTGTCTTTGTTTAATTCTAAGCTTGGGAATAATTGTACATTGTTAATTAAGGGAGCCAGTTATTGTGCATTCAAGTTATCTAATATAAGTGATGTTGAATGAGTATTTCTATTCTATGCACAGCTTGTCAACACTGCTGCATACATATCTCAGTTAAAGTTATCTCCATTTAAGTCAGAACTTACACAAGTATTGCTTGCTCAGGATTGGTTGATTTTTCTCTAAAGATACACATACTTTCTTATCTGACAATACAAGAACCCTAGTAAAAAAAAAACATGAAATCCTTTGCATAAGTTAACACATGACCCTAAACAACTCGGTCACATCCAAAACTAACTTCAAACCAACACATTCTCTACCATGCACTTGATAAACACTCTCAGATCACTGGCCTCCATACGTGGGATTCTTAAATGTTGATGTAGCTTGCTTGTAAATTGGATTCTCTCCCTGTGGGATCACATTAAACATGTCTTCAAAATGAAATCAAAAAACACAATTTTACAAATACACTTGAACATCTTTTTTTTTACACAGATGAAACATTTTCCACATAAATCCACTTAACCCAAAGTTTTCACAACTCCCATTCAATGCACTTTTTTTTTTATTTTCTAGTTCAAAATTTCAGCAATTACTAATTTAAAAGTAGAATGCATCGAACGTATTCATCCATTTACGAAAATGTTGTGTCAAATATTAACACCCTCCAATCAAAATTGGAATTTTTTATTTTGCTGTACACGCTCCGTCCTGCAAATGTTGATCTTAAGAGTGTATGGTTAACAGACCGTCAACAGATTTTAAGAGAAGCAATGCATGAGAAATGTAGGAAGAACATACTCTTAAATGAAAGTTTCTCAAGCTTGACACATATAGATTTCAAGCTTCAGTATAAAATAACTCACAGTGTCCCACTTGGCATTCTGCCTCTCCTTCTCAAATTTAGCGAACTCTCGAGTATCGTGAATGAAGGTCAACAGCTTCCAGATAAGTAACAGGAAGAGTCCCACCGCTACAATACCCCCAACGACGCCACCGACGATGGCCAGCACGTTCACCGACTCGGGACAAACTGAAGATGAAAATAGATCATAACTTACAAACACGGTTAAACTTACAGATGCTGTTAAACTTATAAATGGTTGGCGATTCCATCAAATATAATGCATAGCTGTGTGAATGGTTTGACATTAGTTCACAAATATTTTATTATCCCTTTAAGGGTGGTAATAGAAGACTGAAGATGTTCATCTCAATAATCACATGATTTAGATGCCAAGAAGTTTGAACAAATTAACAGTTTAAAGCTCATGTGTCATTTGAAAAGGTTCTGTAACAATAGAATATACATGAAACATGTTGGACTGTCCATAATAATTAGTATACAGTAAACTATTTTGATTACCTTTAAGTCATCTGGTCTATAATTACCTTTAGTTATCTGGTCTATAATGACCATTATCTGGTCTATGTTTACATTTAGTTTTCAGGTCTATAATTATATTTATTTATCTGGTCTTTAAGTTTAATTACCTTTAGTTATCTGGACTTTAATGACCACCTGTCCATTGCGATCATACTCATAGGTATAATAGGCCCAACAGTCATCAGTATCTTTGAACTGACAGATTTGAACACCAGGTCCCTCTTGAAAACAAAACAATGCAGTTCTTGACTTCTTTGCTCTTACATGCTCAAAAAATCATTCAATATATCCAAAAACAATAAAGAAGATTCCATTTTTAGCCAGATGGAATTTTAAAATAATTTAATGTGCAATTCACTTGATGTATTGCTGCTGTTGTTTTTCTTTTTTACACCTTTAGTGCCTACATGTTGTAAGCTTTACTCAGTACATGACAGTCCTAAATAAAGAATTAGCTTGTTCCCTTATGCCTGTCTATAAGATGTATATTTAAGCCATATCTCATAACCACCCTGGCTCTTCTGTTTACATCCTATAAGAGATTTCTTCACATATAACAAAAGAATCAGATTTAAACCAATATAATTATATACTAGCTATAGCCCGCCAAACAATGGTGATGGCTATGCGAAACTTCCCATCTCCTAAAGTTACTTGTCAGAACATGCATTCAATTAATACACTTAATAAGAATCCTAAAAATAAGACCTTAACCACCCCCCCCCCCCCCCCCCAGGTACACCACCTTACAATTTTTTTTCATGCCCCTTAACCATATTATTAATATTCTAATGTCCCACTCTATTTTTAAACCACAGATTTATTAAATGATATTTAATTATTTTTCTCAGAATCAACGCTCCAATCGTCAATTTTAAGTTAGGTTTCGGATGGATCGACGATGGGATAGTCTATGTATAAAAACCTGTTTATTTCGGTTTTTTCTTAGCTATTGGTTTTTAATTACTTTTAATAAAATCTAGAAAGATTTCCCTTTGAAAAACATCCAGTTTTTCTTTATTTCAACAAGGTTTTACATAGAACGAAGTGTTTGAATCGGTTGTTTTGATTTTCCATTTTAATTTTGTTTACAAACATGAAATCTTGACCTAACCTATCTGGTGATCGATCTAATAAAGATTGAAAATATTACTCTGATGAACAACCAGCCCCACCATCAATTAGTGCTTTATCTAATACTGTTCCAACTATAAATAATATAGATTCTAAAAGGAAAGCTGCTGATTTTAGCACTAAAACTGAGTGCAATTTCATATTTTTACCTTTGAAAAATGTAGGTGTAAATTTGGAGCTTGTGTTGTGACTAGTAAGTCAAATCACCTTGACTTTTTTTTTTTTTTACTTTGCTAGACAAAATGTATTGTTCACAAGCTTGTACTCTCAATAAATGACTATGCTTCCTACAGAATTAACATCAACACTCCAACAAGACTTATCAGAGCAAAAGATGAGCCTCTTAGCTCCAAAAAGGACAATGTGCAAACACTATAGAACAGGGCCAACTGTAACGGTGCACGTTTGTGCTGGATGTGAGTTAAATCCACTCATCCATATGGGTTGTTTACAGGTTAACAATAGCTAAACCCAGATGAAAATGTAGGACAAATTTATGGTTAATTTTCCATTTACCATAATAAATGTTAGTACATACAAGGATACAGTGCAAATATTTTCTAATAGCAACAGATTGTTTCCAGTGGAAATAGTTTTTTTCTGACATTTTTTGCGTGGCGGTGACAATGGATAATGTGCTCTGGTTTTTCATATTTTTCTTTTTTTTATGTGATCTTTTATTATATGTGAGGAACATAAGAATATAGTTGAGAAAAAAAAAATGTTTACACTTTGGATTATAAATTTCTCTTTGTGTAACTTGTAATGAGCGTTTTGTGAACATGGTGAGTTTTTTGCAGTATGTTTAAGAATCTACTTTAGCGCAGTTAAATACAGACAGGAGGGACCCTGCCTGATATTCTTATATAAAGAGGTCACGGGACTGGTGCCTGCCATCTTGGGATGGCACGTACCTCACCCCACAGAAGCCGGGTCGATTGATCAGAGCCAAACGTTCACTGAACACTGACTTCACCACTGACAACCCCATAAACAATTACACCAGAAACAATAGCAAATGCGTCACTGTGCCTCGGTGCAACACAGTGCAGTATAAACAATTTTTCTTTCCACGCACAATAATAGCTTGGAACCACCTGGACAATGCTGCTGTGAACTCGACATCGGTCGAAAGCTTCAAGGCTGCCCTGGCATCTGCTTGGAGCTGTTAGACTAGCAACACCATTCCCCTAACCGTTGCACAGATGCCAGTATATGGATGCAGCAACCAGAACCAGAACCATATTCTGGAACTTTATTTGGGGCGCTATTGAACTCACCATGATTTCATACCTTGAAAAGCATACACTTTTTAGTTATATATTCCAGAATCTCAGTGCGGTTTCCGGTCTGGGCGGTCTACCATAGACATGGTGTTCTCCATACGACAGCTCCAGGAAAAATGCAGAGAGCAGCAGATGCCACTGTACATTGCCTTTGTGGGCCTTACAAAAGCCTTTGATTACGTCAGTCGCAACGGGCTATTCAAAATACTGGAAAAAATCGGCTGTCCCCCTCACCTACTTGCCATCATCAGAGAGTTCCATGAAAATATGCAGGGTACAGTGCAGTTCGATGGAGCCAAGTCAGAAGCCTTTCCAGTCAGCAGCGGAGTTAAACAAGGTTGTGTACTCGCACCAACACTGTTCGCAATATTCTTCTCTGTACTACTTCGATACGCATTCAAGGATATAAGTGAGGGAATCTGGTTACACACCAGAGCTGATGGAGGACTTTTCAACACTGCCCGCCTCCGAGCCAAGACCAAAACGACAGATGTCCTAATTCGAGAGCTACTATTTGCGGATGATGCGGCACTAACAGCACACACAGAAATTGGGTTGCATCAACTCGTGTCAAGCTTCTCCAATGCCTGCAAAGAATTTGGTCTGCAAATCAGCTTGAAAAAGACAAACATCATGGCCCAAGACACTCGACCTCCACCTAACATAAAAATCGATAATGAAAACTTGGAGGTTGTGGACAGCTTCACCTACTTGGGGTCCAAGGTCTCCAATACACTGTCCATTGAAGAAGAAATTAACAGCAGAATCGGCAAGGCAGCTGCCACAATGGCTAAACTAAATAAACGGGTCTGGCAAAACACCAAGCTAACGGAGAAAACCAAACTGTGCGTCTATCGAGCTTGTGTCATCAGTACACTACTATACGGGAGCGAGACATGGACCACCTATACATCCCAAGAGCGCAAGCTTAATAGCTTCCATATGAGATGCCTGCGTCGCATCCTTGGTATTAAATGGCAAGAAAAAGTGACTAATAGTGAGGTCCTAATGCGTGCGAATACCCAAAGCATGTTCACAATCCTTAGTGAAAGACGCCTGAGATGGCTAGGTCATGTTAAAAGAATGAGTCCCGGCCGCATTCCGAAAGACCTCCTATATGGTGAACTTGCTTCTGGAAAGAGGAAAACAGGTCGCCCACGTCTGCGATTTAAAGATGTCTGTCAAAGGGACATGAAAGCAGCCAAAATACATACAAGTGACTGGGAGTGTAAGGCAAAAGACCGATCTACGTGGCGCACAGTTGTCAAAGAGGGCGTCATGGTAGCCGAGGAGCGAAGAATGGAAGAGGCTGCAGACAGAAGAGCTAGGAGAAAGGCCAAAACATTTAGAAGCACGGAACTCGTGTGTAAAAACTGTGGTAAAGACTGTCACTCAAGGATAGGACTGCACAGCCACTCGAGAAAATGCAACCCAACCCAACGGTGATGCACCATCGTCTCACGAGACGGAAGGATGCCGATATTTCATTTTTACTTTTAAAATGGTAAATGTGTACCAACTTGCTAGATTTGTTTTAAACACTTTACCTCTGATTTTGTCATGCATCGTGATGTCATGGGGACAATTACTGTAGCATTCTGCCTCAGTCATCTCTCCTGATTTAAATGCTCGACACTGGACACATTTAGAATACTCAGGACACTTGTCTGGGCAGGCCTGCATTGAAAGAAAAAAAGCTGTAACCAAATGGATGACAGGCCTGCATTAATAGAAACAAAGCTGTAACCAAATGGATGACAGACCAGCATATATAGAAACAAAGATGTAACTTAATGGATGACAGGCATGCACTAAATAAAGTTATATTTATTCTGTAATAGAGATGATAAGACTATACCTTTCTATACCTTTTCTAACAGTGAATTGGGTTTTAAATTTATGCCTTGACTGAATTGAAAATTATAATTTTTTTTAAATCTGAAATTTAAAATGACGTCGATAGTATGTTCAACCTATAAGTATGTTAGCTGCTGTAAGAGATTTTCCCCAGGAAATTATTGATTATTAAAAGTGATAAACAGACTTACAGGACATTGCTCACACTTGAATCCTGTGTACTGACTCTCACAAATACATTTGCCACACGTGCAAGTTCCATGATTGTTACACACTTGCTGGAAGAGGAAATTACACCTTTAGTTAAAATATTTTGGCAAAACACTAGTAAATATAATACTAACTTAAAATTGTAGATTTTTAAGAGATAAGGTCCTAAATATTTAATTATGTTTCTCAACTATAATAAGTATTCAGAAAGATAATATCACCAATTTTTAGTTATGTTTTCTACTATATTAACTCTTTCACTGCGGAATTTTTTTTATTCTTTTGTTCCCCAATCTGCACGAATTTACCGGCGTGCTTCCCCTGAAGTCACACATCTGAATGAGAACTAATAAGTTCCCGATTTTGCTAAGAGAACTAACTGAATGGCTGTTGGAAATAATTTGTTATGAATGTCTTGTGTTCAAATTGTTTTATTTTTGTGCTGAAAATGTATAATGCAATCAAAAAACATTTCCATTTATTTGGATCAATAAAAGAATCTTATCTTATCTTATGTACATTTTTTTCAAAGAGCGGAAAAAGATTGAGAGGTTGGGTTTATTAAAAAATATTAAAAATATTATTCTTTAGTTTATAAGACTAAACTTGGTATCAAATGAAAGGTAATTGAAAGGACTATATGTTTGTACACTTATTTCTTTACTTTAAATAAAATAAGTTACAGAAAAGAACCATAAAATATGAAAAAAGTTTATGCTGAACCATTTTTCCCCAAACCCTATGATGTACACATACCTCATCTTCACTTCCATAACTCATTTCCTCTAAAACTACTATTATGGGAATCATGCGATGCATCTAAATATAAATCATCTTCACTATCAAAAGAAATAGTATTAAACAATTCCAAAGCTTTTTTAACTGTTAATCGTCTAGGAAATTTACCTACTAGGGCCTAGGGTAGCCATAGCAACAGTAGAAAAAAAAAAACGTGTCAAAAAATCGTCAAAATAATGCTTCAAATGACAACAAATAAACCTTGGTTTCGCTTGTAAACAATGAAGTACCACTCTTCTATGTAAAAGTCTTATTTAAAAATAGCTCTTAAAAAGTTTAACTGAGAAATAGCAAAGAAACAAACATGATATTGAAACCACGCACAGCGCGTTGGTCTGTGCTTTTGAGAACGGCGGAAGAACGCACTGTGCGTTGTTCTGCATCGAAAGAGTTAAATATTAAGAGAGAGAATATCCCAAATATTTTTTGCCAAATTTCGTATACATCCTTTAACTATTATTAAGTACAGAAAAGAACAAATGAGTAATAATTATCAGAGCATATATGTGCACAAAGGTACACTGTCAGTCAACTATGAGGTAGTTAGTTGTTGTTCACCCCCCCCCCCTTTCCTAATGGCCAGATATGAACTCAGCCAACAATGAGGTAGTATGTTGTTGTCCCCGCCCCCATCTCCAAACCAATGACCAGATATGAACTCAGTCAACTATCAGGCAGAGGACCCAAGCTTGTTGTCCCCTGCTATGGCCAGACATAAACTCAGACAACTTGAGGCAGTGGGTCCAACTGTGTTATCCCCTGATATGGCCAGATATGAATCAGCCAAGCACTGGTAAACACTCTAAACTCAACCATCAATGTCATTAGATGGCCATCTAATTGACGCGTTATTAAAAATTGGTTGTTTATTCCATTATATACACGTAGTCCTAACTGTTGAGTTACAGATATCTGGTGTCCTAGCGGTTAAGTTACGGATATCTGCTATGCATACAAAAAAATCAAAATCAGACTTAATGAGTAAAAAATAATAAGGAAATTTTCAGTGAACTTACTCCATCAGGAGTCATGCATTTATCAAAACTGAGGTCACATTCACAAGATGTCCCATTGTATCCGGGTTTACAATTACATTTGCCACAGTCACATACTCCTCTTTCTGGACCTGAGAAAAAACATCAGAAGCATGAACAAGTCAGCAGAGTTATTAACTCAAAGCTGGGTTTTTTTGAAGCACAGTGATATTATATCAGCCCTTACCAAATTGATTTGGAGTAAACACAGCGATATCTGCCATTACCAAATTGATTTGGAGTAAACACAGTGATATCTGCCAATACCAAATTGACTTGGAGTAAACTCAACAATATCAGCTGTTACCCAATTGACTTTTAACATAAAACTTAAAGAAATGGAATCTAAAAAATGATAACACAATAATGTGTCCTTGACCTTACCTCCACAGGTCAGCTCATTAAAATGATTACATGAATAATCATCACATTGACAAAATTCTCCACTAAAGGTCTGAGCTGAATCTGAGGATCGTGTGTTACATATGCACTCTCCACACACACAGCTACCTCGGCCAGAGCATGGGATTGTAGCATTGGGTCTGAAAACAAGAGTGCTCAATTAAACTTAAAATTTCTTCTAAAACATTTTTGTTCAGAATGAAAAATAAAAGTGTTATTGATTAAAGTGGCCTGTTCAAAAAGATCAGATCATCAATTTATTGGAAGTTCATGCATTTAACTATGACAAATTGGTTTCTAATCTTATTCTTCTATTTATTAAGGGCCCCACGATAAATTTATTGATCATTTTGGCTCCTATGCATATAGAGGGGATTTGCAATGTTTCTGCGCCTGGTGTTAATGAGGATATCTCACTGGTTGCAAGGGCCACTTTGTATCATGCACAGGGGGGTTGGAAGGCCTGAGGCAATAGGCGCAAATGTGCAAACTCAGCTGCTCCTTTTGAAAGCTTGTTCCAGCCCCTGATTGTCTTTGGCAGGAATGAGCAGTTCCTATACTGGCTTTTCGCTCGTATGAGCCGGAATAGCCTGTCATGGCCTCATCGCTGTCAATGGGGGAGAGGGACGAGTTTCTGTTTAATGCTGGAGCAGTAGAACAGCCCAATATTTATCTTGTGCATTATGGAGAGCCAGCATAGTCGTCGTCATTCCTCCAATGGTGACCAGCCTAGTGTTTCCAGCGAAGATTAGACAATCTGCACTCAGTAGACAAACAATCTGCAGAAGCGGTACTGAGCACGGAGCTCTTGACCTCTATAGAAGAAGGAAGATGACTAACTCAAATCTCTCATTTGAGAAGAAAACAACTGAGCAGTATGGAATGGACTAATCAGCCCACCAAAGCAGCCATTCTTAGAGGGGAAGTAATCCACAGTAAAAATAAAAATCAGTGAATATGTAAGACTGAGGTTAAAATCTACCCGAACAAAAGATGTGGGCTTTTTGCCAGCAAAAAAAATCATTAAAACTACAGCATGTCTTCAAAATGTCAAAGAATTGTTGAACTTACTCGATGCACTGCTTCAAGGATTCTCTACTTGTCAAGTCATCAGCCTTGCATTCACAGAACTTGCCATATCTCCCAGGCTTACACGAGCACTTGCCACATTCAAATGTACCATTGCCACCAGAACATTTGTCACTGTCTTTCTCCTGCACATATCATATTGCACAATAATTAAATTAACATGCTGTTACCACCTCAACCTGTACTGCACATATTAAATCATACAATAATTAACTTAACTTGTTGTTACCACCTTAACATCTGTCCTGCAATATAAAAATCATACAATAATTAACTTAACTTGTTGTTACCACCTTAACATCTGTCCTGCAATATAAAAATCATACAATAATTAACTTAACTTGTTGTTACCACCTTAACATCTGTCCTGCAATATAAAAATCATACAATAATTAACTTAACTTGTTGTTACCACCTTAACATCTGTCCTGCAATATAAAAATCATACAATAATTAACTTAACTTGTTGTTACCACCTTAACATCTGTCCTGCAATATAAAAATCATACAATAATTAACTTAACTTGTTGTTACCACCTTAACATCTGTCCTGCAATATAAAAATCATACAATAATTAACTTAACTTGTTGTTACCACCTTAACATCTGTCCTGCAATATAAAAATCATACAATAATTAACTTAACTTGTTGTTACCACCTTAACATCTGTTCTGCAATATAAAAATCATACAATAATTAACTTAACTTGTTGTTACCACCTTAACATCTGTCCTGCAATATAAAAATCATACAATAATTAACTTAACTTATTGTTACCAAGCTCAACATCTGTCCTGCACATGTGGTATTACCAGTGCTGGGGGCACAAAAATTAACTTAATATGTGTAGATGGTAGGAGTGATTACTCAATCTTTATGTACATATTTCCACTATTTTCAACAGGTGATATAATTAAAACAGAGACTAAGAGAGTAAAACGATACCTTATATATATACTTTATATTATACAAGTAAGTACGATACCGTGTATTATACAAACATGTACAATACCTTGTATTATCGAAGCATGTACCATACCTTGTATTACACAAACATGTATGATACCTTGTATTATACAAACATGTATAATACTTGTATAAATTTTTCTTTAAATTGGTTATAAGCTATTTTGATATCACATCCAATAATTTACTGACCTCATTTTCCTCATTCTCACATTCACATTCACAGATAATATTCAGCTCAACGACCAATTTTTCTTGATAACCAACAGGGCGGATGGCCAATTCTCTAAACCATTCTTTTTTGTCTTTTGGGCAGGCTGTTACCGTGATTTCAGCATCAAAACTAACCTGATAATGCACAACAGTGTAACCATGGGTAACTAACTTCATAAAATGATAATCACAAACACATCAAGGAAGATAAGCTATCTTAAACATTAAAAAATATAAACAATTTATAGAAACATAAATATAATTGAAAAAGATTGGTAAATAAACCCAAGATTTTACAAATATCTGAAGGACTTAATGAATAACCTATTTTGAACAGCTGATTAAATTACTGACTGTCCTATTTTGAACAGCTGATTAACTTACCGACTGTCCTATTTTGAACAGCTGATTAAATTACTGACTGTCCTATTTTTAACAGCTGATTAAATTACTGACTGTCCTATTTAAAACAGCTGATTAACTTACCGACTGTCCTATTTTGAACAGCTGATTAAATTACTGACTGTCCTATTTTGAACAGCTGATTAAATTACTGACTGTCCTATTTTGAACAGCTGATTAAATTACTGACTATCCTATTTAAAACAGCTGATTAACTTACCGACTGTCCTATTTTGAACAGCTGATTAAATTACTGACTGTCCTATTTAAAACAGCTGATTAACTTACCGACTGTCCTATTTTAAACAGCTGATTAACTTACCGACTGTCCTATTTTCAGGTTTCCACATTCATTGGTCTTTTTCTCTTCACCACTAAGTCATTAGAAGGAAAAATAAACAAACGAATAAAATTTATCAGTAATAAGAGATTACAATTAATATCAATCTGATTCAAATGATTCCATTCATGGCGACTGTTCCAACATAACTTCTTTATTTATTTATAAGCTATTTACACATTTGAAACTCTACATTTAAAATGATATTAAAATAAGTCATAACGAAGGGATTGTGAAATGATTCTATTCTCCAGGAAAAGAAATAGTGCAGGACTTAAGAGTGCAGCAGGACTTCATGAAGGTACTCACCCAAAACAACGAGAATAGAATTCAACAGTGACATTGTCAACAACATTCTGTGACCTCAGAGTTACTTTTGAAGTGATTTTCTGTTTAAAAAAATATTAAACATTTTAAATATTTTGTCTGCCTACAGCAACTTATTTGAACTCTCTAATCTGAACTGTAACACTGATACAGAAACTTATTTGAATTGTAACACTGATACAGAAACTTATTTGAACTGTAACACTGATACAGAAACTTATTTGAACCGTAACACTGATACAGAAACTTATTTGAACTGTAACACTGATACAGAAACTTTTTTGAACTCTAACACTGATACAGAAACTTATTTGAATTGTAACACTGATACAGAAACTTATTTGAACTGTAACACTGATACAGAAACTTATTTGAACCGTAACACTGATATAGAAACTTATTTGAACTGTAACACTGATACAGAAACTTTTTTGAACTCTAACACTGATACAGGAACTTATTTGAACTGTAACACTGATACAGAAACTTATTTGAACTGTAACAGGATACAGAAACTTATTTGAACTGTAACAGGATACAGAAACTTATTTGAACTGTAACACTGATGCAGAAACGTATTTGAACTCTCTAAAACTAAGGTATTAAAAAATTCCATTTTTATGTTATTTTAACATGAAAGAAGAGACATGGAGTTGTTTTAATTCCAAAATTTTAGTCTGAGTTACATTCATACAGTTAAAGGAATTGATATCAAAATTGCTTTGTAATCAGTTAGTTGTATTTAATTAGTAATCACACAAAGTTGTTCAGTTATACTTAGTCATCAGATCACATAAAGTTGTTCAGTTGTACTTAATAATCTTATCACACAAAGTTGTTCAGTTGTACTTAGTAATCAGATCCCACAAACTTGTTCAGTTGTACTTAGTCATCTTATCACACAAAGTTGTTCAGTTATACTTAGTCATCAGATCACATAAAGTTGTTCAGTTGTACTTAATAATCTTATCACACAAATTGTTCAGTTGTACTTAGTAATCTTATCACAAAAAGTTGTTCAGTTATACTTTGTAATCTTATCACACAAAGTTGTTCAGTTGTACTTAGTAATCTTATCACACAAAGTTGTTCAGTTGTACTTAGTAATCTTAGCACACAAAGTTGTTCAGTTGTACTTAGTCATCAGATCACACAAAGTTGTTCAGTTGTACTTAGTAATCTTATCACACAAAGTTGTTCAGTTATACTTAGTCATCAGATCACATAAAGTTGTTCAGTTGTAATTAATAATCTTATCACAGAAAGTTGTTCAGTTATACCTAGTCATCAGATCACACAAACTTGTTCAGTTGTACTTAGTAATCTTATCACAAAAAGTTGTTCAGTTATACTTTGTAATCTTATCACACAAAGTTTGTTCAGTTGTACTTAGTAATCTTATCACACAAAGTTGTTCAGTTGTACTTAGTAATCTTATCACACAAAGTTGTTCAGTTGTACTTAGTCATCAGATCCCACAAACTTGTTCAGTTGTACTTAGTCATCTTATCACACAAAGTTGTTCAGTTATACTTAGTCATCAGATCACATAAAGTTGTTCAGTTGTACTTAATAATCTTATCACACAAAGTTGTTCAGTTGTACTTAGTAATCTTATCACACAAAGTTGTTCAGTTATACTTAGTCATCAGATCACACAAAGTTGTTCAGTTGTACTTAGTAATCTTATCACAAAAAGTTGTTCAGTTATACTTAGTCATCAGATCACACAAAGTTGTTCAGTTGTACTTAGTAATCTTATCACACAAAGTTGTTCAGTTATACTTAGTAATCTTATCACACAAAGTTGTTCAGTTGTACTTAGTAATCAGATCACACAAAGTTGTTCAGTTGGTCACACAACATATTGGAACATTACCTCATAGTTGTCTTGAATAAGCTTAACAATATTTGATGAGTCGTTGGCTAATTCACCGGTGGTTGAACTTTCAATGTACTGACTCAGTTTCTCATAAATAGAAAACTGATCTTTGGTCACTGCAAAAATGACACTGACAGACTTCTCTTTGATTTTGTTGGCGATCTGACTGACTGAAGGATAATCCTACCACAGAAATGAAAGCATTAGTAATGGCAGAAGTAAAAAATACATTCTTGTAGCTTACATTAACAGTTGAGTTTATTGTACGGCTGATTCTCGATACATGAATGTTCAATTGACCAACATTCACAATTGACAAACATTCACAATTGACAAACATTCACAATTGACAAACATTCACAATTGACAAACATTCACAATTGACAAACATTCACAATTGACAAACATTCACAATTGACAAACATTCACGATATAAAATATCACAATTTATAAATTTTAAGAAGATGTACTATTTTGTTTGTTTTAATTAAAATTAAATATTTCCTATGGTAACTTGTTTGTTCTCAGCCCTTTGTTCAACTTTATTTTACCTTCTGAGATTGAAGTTGAAAGAATACATACAGCTTCAATAGTTAATTAAATATCTTTCATATGAAAAAAATGACAACTAACATATAGGATTGCATCCTGTATGCATATATCCTTTTATCCCAAAGGAGAAATTCAAAAATTCTATGTAAAATATTAGCTAGGCCACTTACCAAATTTTTACTCTCTGTATATTCATTGTCTTTAAGATGACATTTGCCATCATTAGGGGTAACAATACCTCCCAGCTAGAAAGAAAATTTGGAATAAAAAAAATTTTAAATCTATTTCTATGGAGAAAATGGCTTGTTCATTCTAAAAGTATGCAAGTTAATATTATAACGTTTTCAATAAGATTCACTATCCTATCCTAAAATTACAGGAAACTCTCAAATGCCCCACTCAAATCTAAATAATTTAAGTGAGTTATGTATTTCCCACTATCAATCAATATGGTACACTGCCAAGGTTCCCATGGTGCTCTACTATCACTAAAGACACTGCCCAGATGCCCACGGAGCTCCACTATCATTACAGACACTGCCCAGATGCCCACGGAGCTCCACTATCATTACAGACACTGCCCAGATACCCAGGTAGCTCCACTATCATTATTACAGACACTGCCCAGATACCCAGGGGCTCAACTATCATTAAACACTGACCAGATGCCCATGAAGCTCCACTATCATTACAGACACTGCCCAGATACACATGGAGCTCCACTATCATTACAGACACTGTCCAGATACCCATGGAGCTCCACTATCATTACAGACACTGCCCAGATAACCAGGGAGCTCCACTATCATAAAAGACACTTCCCAGATACCCAGGGGGCTCCACTATCATTACAGAAACTGCCCAGATACCCAGGGGGCTCCACTATCATAAAAGACACTTCCCAGATACCCAGGGAGCTCCACTATCATTACAGACACTGTCCAGATACACATGGAGCTCCACTATCATTACAGACACTGCCCAGATGCCCACGGAGCTCCACTATCATTACAGACACTGCCCAGATACCCAGGTAGCTCCACTATCATTATTACAGACACTGCCCAGATACCCAGGGGCTCAACTATCATTAAACACTGACCAGATGCCCATGAAGCTCCACTATCATTACAGACACTGCCCAGATACACATGGAGCTCCACTATCATTACAGACACTGTCCAGATACCCATGGAGCTCCACTATCATTACAGACACTGCCCAGATAACCAGGGAGCTCCACTATCATAAAAGACACTTCCCAGATACCCAGGGGGCTCCACTATCATTACAGACACTGCCCAGATACCCAGGGGGCTCCACTATCATAAAAGACACTTCCCAGATACCCAGGGAGCTCCACTATCATTACAGACACTGTCCAGATACCCAGGGAGTTCCACTATCATTACAGACACTGCCCAGCTACCCAGGGAGCTCCACTATCATTACAGACACTGTCCAGATACACATGGAGCTCCACTATCATTACAGACACTGTCCAGATACCCAGGGAGCTCCACTATCATAAAAGACACTTCCCAGATACCAAGGGAGCTCCACTATCATTACAGACACTGCCCAGATACCCAGGGGGCTCCACTATCATAAAAGACACTTCCCAGATACCCAGGGAGTTCCACTATCATTACAGACACTGCCCAGATACCCAGGGGCTCCACTATCATAAAAGACACTGCCCAGTTACCCAGGGAGCTCCACTATCATTACAGACACTGCCCAGATAACCATGGAGCTCCACTATCATTACAGACACTTCCCAGATACCCATGGAGCTCCACTATCATTACAGACACTGCCCAGATAACCATGGAGCTCCACTATCATTACAGACACTTCCCAGTTACCCAGGGAGTTCCACTATCATTACAGACACTTCCCAGTTACCCAGGGAGTTCCACTATCATTACAGACACTGCCCAGATACCCAGGGAGTTCCACTATCATTGCAGACACTTCCCAGTTACCCAGGGAGTTCCACTATCATTACAGACACTTCCCAGTTACCCAGGGAGTTCCACTATCATTACAGACACTGCCCAGATACCCATGGAGCTCCACTATCATTACAGACACTTCCCAGTTACCCAGGGAGTTCCACTATCATTACAGACACTGCCCAGTTACCCATGGAATTCCACTATCATTACAGACACTTCCCAGATACCCATGGAGCTCCACTATCATTACAGACACTGCCCAGTTACCCATGGAGTTCCACTATCATTACAGACACTGCCCAGATACCCATGGAGCTCCACTATCATTATTACAGACACTTCCCAGTTACCCAGGGAGTTCCACTATCATTACAGACACTGCCCAGTTACCCAGGGAGTTCCACTATCATTACAGACACTGCCCAGTTACCCAGGGAGTTGCACTATCATTACAGACACTGCCCAGTTACCCAGGGAGCTCCACTATCATTACAGACACTGCCCAGTTACCCAGGGAGTTCCACTATCATTACAGACACTGCCCAGCTACCCAGAGAGTTCCACTATCATTACAGACACTGCCCAGATACCCAGGGAGTTCCACTATCATTACAGACACTGCCCAGTTACCCAGGGAGTTCCACTATCATTACAGACACTGCCCAGTTACCCAGGGAGTTCCACTATCATTACAGACACTGCCCAGATACCCAGGGAGTTCCACTATCATTACAGACACTGCCCAGTTACCCAGGGAGTTCCACTATCACTACAATGTGCAAACATCCTATTCATATCATTGCAACCACAATTGAAGACAGAGACATATTTATATTCCTGAACTCAAATTTTGTTTAACTCTGATCTAATTTATTAAGAAATTGTAGCATACAATGGCCCTAATATTATATAAAAAATAGTTGCATACCCTGTAACAATACTGTATAAGAAATGATAGCATACCTTGCCATCTCCTGCATAATGGAAGCCTGCATCTGTTGAGAAGACCAACATTCTCCTGGAGATTGGTCTCCATCCTATTTCATCCTATTAAAACAAAGTTGATTTATCAATAGTCTCAATTTCAGTATTAATTTTACAATAATCTTAATCATTTGTTTATCAATAGTCTTAATTTCAGTATTAATTTAACAATAATCTCAATCAAATATTTGTTTATCAATAATCTCAATTTCAGTATTAATTTAACAAAAATCTCAATCAGGTATTTGTTATTGTTAATCAATAATCTCAATCAAGTATTAGTCTATCAATAGTCTCAGATGAGTACATTGACTTCAATAGCCTTGTAAACATTTTGGATAATGAAACTTTTTCCAAATGCACTATGAAATTATTCTTTGAACTGAACTGTTGAACAACTTACTTCACATGTAACAGCCTGCATGATAGCATCAAAGCCTCCTTCTGGAGCATCCAAGTTTCCAGATACACGAGCAGCTCGGACTTTTTGCTAATAGAAATATTATTGAAAATCACACTTAAGTTCTTGGCTACAGATGCAATTAAAAACTCTCATTATTTTCATCCTTCCATTTCCAAATTTAATTTTCAAAAGCACAGATATGTCCAAATGTACATCTTTAGGTTAAAGTCTGCATGTCCAAATGTACATCTTTAGGTTAAAGTCTGCATGTCCAGTGGCAAATTTGTCAGAAAGGATTCAAATAATTTGCCTTAGCTATAATGGGAGAGATATCAATGAACATAAGTAGGCATTTAATGGGAGAGATATCAATGAACATAAGTAGGCATTTAATGGGAGATATATCAACAGACCTGTTTACTTTTACGATTTTGGCATACAATGTACAATTTTGAGATGTCTTTTACGATTGTGCGCCGAGTCCTGTCATAACTAAGATTTTACAGGACGGGTTAAAAATATATATTTCGGTGGTTTTAACGATTTGTAAAAAAAATACATTAATAATAAATAAAACATATTTGGTTGTTACTTTTAGCTACTTTCTATTGTCCTCAGTGAATAGACAGAATTGCCATTGGCTGGGGACATACGTAATTATATTACGTACACAGGAGGAAAGGGGATGGTGTTGACTTGGAAGTGTATGTGTGTTCATTAGAGGGGGGGGGGGGACGACGACATTATTAAAGGCTATAATATAACACTACAAAGTTTCACAACAATGTCATTTTGTAGCTTTGTGTTTTCACAATGAACTCGCTATATACATCAACCAACAGTAATATTTAGCGTATTCGCCCAAGTCTATTCAAATTACTTGGCTTACGTTTGCTCTTAAATCATTTTAGGAGATTCAATCTAATTTTTCTCTTCCCCCTCAATACAAGTAATTACATTTTTTTTTTCTAAATTACCGCAAATTTGTCTGTTTCCAAATCTAAACTGAGTTGATTTCTGAATCCATATGGAGCTTCACAGGCTTGATTGTTGAGGGTACTCGACATCGAACAGGGCTCTTTCAGCCTGATGAAAAGACGTTTGAATGTAGAATTGATAAAACACTACATTTACTATTAAGCATTTCACAGAGCTCTTTCAGCCTGATGAAAAGACATTTGAATTTAGACTTGATATAACACTTCATTTACTATTAAGCTTTGCCCATGTCATTTTTTACTTGGCTGTCATGTATTTCTAATCATCTATGTAATTATCCTCTCTATTGCAGATAAAGTTTCTTAGAATAAAGAGACTTGCGCATAGTTAAAATATAGCTGGTAGAAGGAAGCCCCGAAGCTTATGATAAAACTTCAGGTTCCTCCAGGGCCCCACCCCATCTCAAAAATCTCAACAATTCCCTCTAACGTCTTCTACCCGTTAGGCCCTCTCTGAAATACCCTTCCCTAAACCTTCTCCTACTGTCCTACCCCACTACCACCCTTACCTTGCCCCTCTACACTGTATGCAATTCTCATATTCTTTTCTATAATCAGGCACAAATGCATGGCTCTGCATTAGGCCATTTAAAAGAGTTTGTTTACTCACAACAGTATAGAGACACTGAGACTGTTTTGTTTGTTAGATTTTATAAGTTCATTATATTACAAATAGAACTGAATATTTAAGAATGTAATCATCTTCAAAATTGGTGACAAGATTCATTTCTAGCATTCACAAATTACTTTCAATTACTTTTTTCCACTTGATAGGTAATTAAGATCTACAAAACAATTGAATGACAAATATATTTACTTTTCTACTTGCCAGGTGATTAAGTTCTATAAAAACTTGAATGATAAATATATTTAATTTTCTACTTGCCAGGTGATTGATTTCTATCAACACTTGAATGACAACTATATTTACTTTTGTGCTTAAGTGCTGACATAAGGAATTAAAACAAATATATTTACTTTTTTGGAACAGTGCTGACATAAGGAGAGACTACTTTATCCACAAAAGAACCAAAGCCTAGACGAAAGTTTTTGGTAATGGCCGACATCTTCTCAGCTGTTGATTATTAGAAAATAAATTAAAATTAGCAAACAAATTTTCATACCAATCAGTGTACCCAAATTTAACCTCAGTAAGAGTTTTACTTGACAGCTCCTTTTAACCTCATTACAACCCCACATGTACAAAATGCAATACATCACGACAAGATTAGTGATCAATTATTCTCCTAGTGATGTTCTTACCATGTCTATATATAGACAACTTACATGTACAAAATACAATACATCACGACAAGATTAGTGATGAGTTATTCTCCAAGTGATGTTCTTAGCTTGTCTATGTATAGACAACTTACATGTACAAAATACAAGACATCATAACTAGATTAGTGATCAGCTAATCCCTTAATGATGTTCATAGCATGTCTATATATAGACAACTTACATGTACAAAATACAAGACATCATGACTAGATTAGTGATCAGCTAATCCCTTAATGATGTTCATAGCATGTCTATATATAGACAACTTACATGTACAAAATACAAGACATCATGACTAGATTAGTGATCAGCTAATCCCTTAATGATGTTCATAGCATGTCTATATATAGACAACTTAGATGTACAAAATACAAGACATCATGACTAGATAAGTGATCAGCTAATCCCTTAATGATGTTCATAGCATGTCTATATATAGACAACTTACATGTACAAAATACAAGACATCTTGACTAGATAAGTGATCAGCTAATCCCTTAATGATGTTCATAGCATGTCTATACATGCAAAAATGTAAATTCCCCTCAATGTTATTAAATGAAGCTTGGAAAATATTCAACAAACATTCCTTTTTTTTTTATTTCTTGGAGGGCTTAAAGCTCTATTTGCCAATTTATATCTTAGATCATCTTCAAAGGTTAAAAAAGGGTAAAAGCTCTATTTGCCAATCTATATCTTAGATCATCTTCAAAGATTAAAAAAGGGTAAAAGCTCTATTTGCCAATTTATATCTTAGATCATCTTCAAAGATTAAAAAAGGGTAAAAGCTCTATTTGCCAATTTATATCTTAGATCATCTTCAAAGATTAAAAAAGGGTAAAAGCTCTATTTGCCAATCTATATCTTAGATCATCTTCAAAGATTAAAAAAGGGTAAAAGCTCTATTTGCCAATCTATATCTTAGATCATCTTCAAAGATTAAAAAAGGGTAAAAGCTCTATTTGCCAATCTATATCTTAGATCATCTTCAAAGATAAAAAAAGGGTAAAAGCTCTATTTGCCAATTTATATCTTAGATCATCTTCAAAGATTAAAAAAGGGTAAAAGCTCTATTTGCCAATTTATATCTTAGATCATCTTCAAAGATTAAAAAAGGGTAAAAGCTCTATTTGCAAATCTATATCTTAGATCATCTTCAAAGATTAAAAAAGGGTAAAAGCTCTATTTGCCAATTTATATCTTAGATCATCTTCAAAGATTAAAAAAGGGTAAAAGCTCTATTTGCCAATCTATATCTTAGATCATCTTCAAAGATTAAAAAAGGGTAAAAGCTTCTTAAAATACTACCCACAATATTTTAATATGTCTTGCTTATGACAGAATTAACTGAAGAGGAAAAAAAAAAAGGCTACATAAAAAATGTGTCCAGTGGAGAGTTTAAACATAGCTATTTAGTCTCGTTCAATGAAATAAGAACAAAATTACTGGATTGTTGTTTTGTGTGAGAATCGAAACTAATTGTGATATTTATTATAAACCAATAAATTAAAATTGCCAAAATTGCTAGATGCGCAAGGATAGAAATAAAGAAAACCCACCAATGAGATTTCCCAGTTCAGCCAGGTTAACTTTGTCATCTTCCATTGAGTTAGATAAGTCCATGAGATAATACAGATCAACAGGATAGTTTTCAGCTTGACGAAATTTTAAAGGAATCCGAACTGGTTTGTCTGTTCAAAAAATAATCATAGAAATTAAGAGTGGAAACATACAAAATCAAGCGTAAGAGCAGTGGTTCCCAAACTTTTTTGCCCACCTGAGCAACTACAATTTTTACTGCCCACTTAGGAAAGATCATTTTCAAAAATTTCCCCATGCTGCTGTTAACAAGACTGTATTACAATATGTCTGCCTGTTTAGGACTCAAGATTGTATTACAATTTGATTGTTTAGGACTCAATATTTCATTACAATTTGTCTGCTTGTTTAGGACTCAAGATTGTATTAAAATTTGTCTGCTTGTTTAGGACTCAAGATAAAACTTACAATAGGTTAAAAATATTTTTATTGTAATTTAAAAAAATTCTCCTGTCAAAGATTCCTCACTCGTAACCTAATTTTTTTTAAAGTAAATACATTTCCAATCAAAGAGACTAAATGTCCCTTTTTTCAAAATGCTCCTTGTGGGGAGTACACCTCATGGAATTCAATGCATTAGAGTAATCTCTATGCTCATAACTTTAGAGTTCCTGCATTTGTTGTTTTTATAAGGGTAAACTCTATTTTCATAACTTAGAATTCCTACATTTGCTGTTTATTAGAGTTATCTCTTTTCTCATAACTTCTTTTAACCCATTCAATCCCAGTCACTCGGAAATTTTATAGTCTGAATTCCCAGCCAAAGGGAAATAACTCTGCACTTAGCGCAGGGTTGTATCAGGAAAAAATTAATAACAAATTTATCTTGCCACATAATTACATGAAATAAAGTGCACTGTATTCAGAAATGGTTGTTCTATATGAATAATTATCATTGGATCATTTTGTATGAAACTGATTTGTGTAAGATAAAATTAAATGACAGAATTACAAAAATGAGGAACAAAATTGAAGAGAAAAAATGTGTGTACCTTACAAGAATTTATATTTATTTTAGTTAAGATTATTGTGAAAGGCTGCAAAGCAGTGTCCTTTACACAAATGAACTTTGCATATGAGGCATTCATTCGACGCTTCTATGGGTCTATTTGTAGGGGTCTTTAGCTTAGCTCTTGAACATTCATACCATGTTTTTCCCTGCCATACAATCTACTTGGCTGATGCAATGTGTGGTCAGCTGTGTTAGTACCAGTGGCTGCCGGGCTGTCAGTCACAATTCGGTGCCTTGCAGATGATCCAGCCATGTGCTGCTGCATTAGCTCAAGGCGAAAGTCCAAATGTGTCTTTGATTTTTGGCCAGGATGCCGTTGAGTAAACTGTTTTCTGTACACGATGAATGCGTTGATTGTGGCAACCTGAAGCAGAAACCATAGAAGCGACCTCCACCATTTCCTACTTCTTCTGTCTATGGGGTAATAGGATCTTAACTGATCATGGAGATCAACACCACCCATACCCTTGTTGTAATTGTAGACTGGTGTTGGTATGTGGATGTCAACACGTCCAGTGGCTGTGTTTCGTGGTGTTGTCGACATAGTTGGGTGCGAATTTGTTGACAAAACCTGCGCTGGCCTTTTATCATGAAAGAAACATGCGACTAGGTTTTCAATTTGCCTAAATCGCACTCCTGATTCAGTCACTGATTTTTTTAGCTTCAGGTTCTTGAGATCTTTTAGCCAACCTTTGCGAGAGGGTCTAATAGTCGCACATGAATATGTGCTTCACTGAAATAAGTCCTCGGCGAGCTTGACACTGGTAAAATAATTGTCATAGAAAACATGGTGTTGCTTGTCAAGATAAGGCTCACTCATTGTAAAAACAACATGATATCCCAGGCCATATTTACAGTAGATTTCCCAGTATAAACACTGAAATTAAACAAATAACCACTATGTGGATCAGCAGCACACCACAATTTAATCCCCCATGGAGTAGGCTTATTTTTAATGTACTGCTTGAACATTAAACGTCCTGTATAAGCCACCATGGCTTCATCAATGGATATCTCCTTCTCTGGCTTCATTCTTGTAAGGGAATTTTCCAGGACGGTGTCAAATAAAGGACATACTTTGAAGATAGGATCATGGCCTGGCTCCCCTCTCGGAATAAAATTTGCATTATTATTAAGATGAAAGTATTTTGCTATAGCTTCATACCTGTTTCTTGAAATAATTTTTGACACTGCTGCAACATTTAGCAGTTCATTATTTGACCAATACAGTCTGTAACTAGGCAATATATGAATGCATAAATAAAAAGCTTTATGTCTAAAATGTTAACAGGTTTCCATGATGTGTCTGGTTTTACAAGAGCTCTTTCCAGTGCATATCGGTTTGTTTCTGTAACACAGTGAGTGTAGAACTCTTCAAGAATAAACAGTGAAAAATAATCATATGCTGTGAATAAATCATCAGCATTAATACAATTGCTTGGACCTGTAGGTTCGGTAAATTCCTGAACGTCCACTTCAGTCAAAATACTTGACCACACACGATCAACATGGTCACCATCCTCAGTGACTTGTCCACTTGCTCTAGGCCTAGCACTGCTAGTACTAGAGATATCTAATCTTCATCCCTAGTATCAGAATTGTCACTGTCCCCATTATTAACTAAATCAAAATCTACATCAGACTCATCATCATCAATAACAGGTTTGAATTGTTCATCATCTTCATCTAAATGAGAGGGCCCAGCGCCTCATTTATCAAAGTTTGTAGAAAATATTAAAAGCTACTTATAAAAACACGAAATCTCCTCAATAAATCAATGAAATGACACAAAATTTGGTAGTAAGCTCCCTTAGCCTCGTCTAGTCTCGTTACGTTCGAGATTTCCGTTTTAAAGGTGGTAGTTCCGTTACAGTAAAGCAACGCCTGAGCCGTATATTTTTTGGCCGGATATGGCCGTTACGGGATTGAATCGGTTAACGAGTTCATACATTTGCTGTTTATTGGACAAAAACAAAGCTGAAATTTATGTCTTAACTATAACTGACTTGTCAATCACAAGAACATTATTATTTTGGCCACATACTTGGTCGTATCCTGATATGAACTCTCTGGGGTTGTAGCTGTATAGCTTCTTCTGGGCGGTCTCCATCGCCAACACTTTGATTCTATACAGATGAAAGGAGATATTTTTTTCTAAAAAGCACTAAATAGTGATCAATTTTAATTTTTTTCAATAATTATAAACTTTATGATAAAATTTACCACCAATTCCATGCATAGAGAATTAACATGTTTTTTCAATAACGATACTTACTTCAATCGCCTTAATTTCTTCACTTGGAAATTCTAGGTCTTCGTCAAGACACTTGCCTCTTAAGTGATTCTTCTGAGTATCGCAACGGAGACGATTTTCTTGCTCATAACTCTGAAAACATTTATAATAAATATGTATCTCCCATTCAAACAAAATATCTAAGTCATCAATGTCTCAAAATTGTTGATGAAGTATTAGCTAAGCACGCATCTACCTCAATGGTAATATATTAAATACTAAAGATCAGTTACAAATATTAAAGCTTTTCCTACTGAGTTTTTTTTCTAGCTTTGGACCAACTTAAATTGTGATGTTTGAACAAAATAAATGAGCAGCTAGAGAATAATATATAACTTAAAAACTAATAGACGTGATTGATTTTGGTCAATAGAAAAGAAACCTAACTATAAAACAATCAAAACATAATGTGGACATTTATTACTAAGCCCCCGTTCAAGGAAAGAGTGTAATTTCAAAATGTCATTTCAAATTCTAATATTTTTGACCAAAACCAGTATTTTCAATATTAAAGTTATAAGAATACCGGAATCTAGATATTTTCAATATTAAAGTTATAAGAATACCGGAATCCAGATATTTTCAATATTAAAGTTATAAGAATACCGGAATCCAGATATTTTCAATATTAAAGTTATAAGAATACCGGAATCCAGATATTTTCAATATTAAAGTTATAAGAATACCGGAATCCAGATATTTTCAATATTAAAGTTATAAGAATACCGGAATCCAGATATTTTCAATATTAAAGTTATAAGAATACCGGAATCCAGATATTTTCAATATTAAAGTTATAAGAATACCGGAATCCAGATATTTTCAATATTTAGAGAATTTTTTTGCAAGATTCAAGATAAGCGGTGACGATTTATCATTGAAATAAAAACATTCAGAAAAAAAAAAGCACATTTTGATATTTAATAAGCTTTCAACAATAACACAAATGTCTAGCTTCAGACATTAATAAAAAAAAACAAAATGAAGATTCTTAACTTTTTTAATTTAAATAGTTTTATTAATGAAATATTAAAATAATTTGTGTTGTTTTAATCGTTAGTCAAATTTAAATAATGAGAGTGCAAAAATGATGTGTCTAATGTTTGATTGCTTAATTTTGACTTCAAATGGTTACAAAAGTTGCCTGATGATGAGAACACCCGCTCAGACTCCACACTAGTCAGAGGAATTACCTTGGGCTGCCATACGCAATTTCTAGATATTTTCCTCTTTTATTAACAGCCATTCTCAAATAAAGCCATATCTATTTTTACCAATGTATCAATATCCTTATCAATTGGTCTGGAATTATTATTGTGAGCCTGAAGTTTCTTTTGTATTTCAATATCTAATTGTCTTTTAAGCGGTAGTGTGTTTTCATTTTCAGGTTCGTCCTACTCAAATCCAAGATAATTTCCAACAAGGAATTAGCTGTTTGACCATGCTTTTGAATGTCCACAATATTGTTTCACATCTGGTCGAATCTAGCCTTAGAAATATGTCCAAATGGTCATTTGACGAATCAAAGTCCGTCTTAGAATTATGCAAGTATTTCAATGTTGAAGCAACCAACAATCTGCGCTCATTAATCCGACGCTTCAGAGAGGCAACAAGTTCATATGCAACTATTTCATGATGCATGGTATCTAATTTTAAAAACATAAACATCAAAGCTGCTTCACATGTGATTAAGGTGGCATTTCTTTTGCTAAGTTCTTCTACTGTTGCTTTCAGTATTTCAAATATTATTCGGAGATTACACAGTCTTTGATATTCATCATGAGATATGTCAAGATCGATTTTTAAATCAATAAGCTCATTTTTTTTTTTTTTTTTATTTTACTATCCTACCTAACATTTATGCTAAACTATTCCACCTTGTGCTTCAATCTAAAATCAAATTAAGCTCACAACCAATTTTTTCTTTTACATATTTAATAACAACACCATGCTTCTTTACNTCATCATGAGATATGTCAAGATCGATTTTTAAATCAATAAGCTCATTTTTTTTTTTTTTTTTATTTTACTATCCTACCTAACATTTATGCTAAACTATTCCACCTTGTGCTGCAATCTAAAATCAAATTAAGCTCACAACCAATTTTTTCTTTTACATATTTAATAACAACACCATGCTTCTTTACGAATGAATCACGGTACACAGATCTAGTCCGCCTGTCATCTCTTTTGAACTTGAGACATGTGGTGTGATGGGTTCCCACATCACATAAATTATGAATATGTCTTGCTTTCAGTACAACATGGAAACTAAGAAAAGCTATATATATTTTTTTGAAAATGAAATACCGGAAATTTAAAAAATTCTGGTTTTCATAAATCCAATTTTCAAGCATCTGTTATAGTCCGGCATCCTGGTATTTTTGAGAGTCAGGATCCCGGGTTTGCCACCCCTAATACCAGCACAATGCAGATAAAGAGTTAATAAAGCAAAATTTATTTTAAAATTGTATTTAAATGATTTGTATACCATCAGAGCAATATGCATAATGTTATACATCAGAACAATATGCATTATGTTAAACATCAGAACAATGTGTACAACTTTTTTACCTCAGAAACACACCAAGCACATTCCTTTGCAGTGGCTATGCAAGCAGCACAAGATTTTTGTGCTTCAGCTGCTAAGCATGGGTTATGTTGGTTACCTGGAATGTTCAATAAATCATTTAGTTTCAATAATTGCTGTTATTTTAAGTAGTGACTATTTAATATTGGTTTTTATGCCTTAACTTGTTGGACCAAAAATGAAATTACAAAATTAAAAAGACTTTTTACCTAGAGTTAGTGTTCCAGATATTAAAATGAGTAAGACAGTGAAGAGAATCATTTTCCAGTTTGCCTGAAAAAGAAACAGCACACAAAAATTAAGAGTACAAGAAATGAGAGGCAACCAGATCCAAACTTATAAACACCGCAAATTAGCCCGCCCAACAAGCCACACTTGCCAGGGTTGACATAATGAATGATAATTGGCTTCATGTAATTACCCAGCTATGTCATGAACCCTCACTCCACTGCTCAACAAGGTTCATTCATAGAGTGAGACTGTGTGCATATTTTATGGCTCATTTTTAACTTGGTATGGTAAAACCTTAACTATTTAAACAGCATAATAATTGAAGTATTTGAGGGCAAATTTGGATTATCTTGGAAAGTTGCTGTTTTACTTAAATATCCTGAGGATAGATATTTATAATAATCATGAAGACCATTCACAAAGGACTACAGAATTTATTAAGAATATGAGAGCACAAATTTATACCATACAGATTTTGGAATCACTAAACAATGACTAATAAAATGACATGAACATATTTCTGAAATTCTACTTATATAATTGACCTTATGAGAATGTCATTTTTGGATAAGGTGCTAAGTAAAGATTATAAATTGACTATATTTACAGAGAATATTTTTGAATAAGGTGATCAGGAAGATTATACATTGACCTTGTTTACATAGAATGTTATTTTTTAATAAGGTGCTCAGGAAAGATTGTACATTGACCTTGTTAGCATAGAATGTTATTTTTGGAAAAGGTGCTCAGGAAAGATTATACATTTGGGCTGTTGCTTACAATCAGATGAGAAAAGACAGCAGAAATAAACAATGTAAAGAGGATAACATTCTCATTTATCTGAATTGAAAAAAGTGATTATAGCTTATCAAAGAAGGTGACAAATATTCGCCCTCATTTATATTCTCATAAACTGGCTGAGAGATTTGTTATAAAAAAAGCTAGTAAACTTTTGAAAGTCATATTAACATGCTATGCAAGGCAATTTTTCTGGAGCTGCGCAGGACTAGTCACATCAGGCCCTTCCTAACAATTGATGCAACAAAGACGCTGATGTCTGCATTTGTGCTATCACGCATGGACTATTGCAATGCTCTCATGGTGGGTCTTCCAGCTACGCTCCTGGATAAAATTCAAATAGCACAGAATAATGCGGCTCGAATTATTCTCCGCAAACGCAAGTTCGACCATGCAAAAACACTTCTGAGAGAGTTGCACTGGCTGCCGGTGCGTGCTCGTATAGACTACAAAATCGCAACTTTGTGCTACCGCTGCTTACATGACCTGGCGCCGTCCTATCTGAAAGAGCTGCTTACGCCTTATGTACCCACTAGAGAGCTCCGCTCATCCGATAGTGGCAAACTCTTGACACCACGTGTTTGCCTTGAGACTTACGGAAAGCGCACTTTCGCATTTGCTGGTCCAACAATTTGGAACGCCCTTCCTGTCGATCTCAGAAACAACCAGACACTGGAGTCCTTTAAAACCGATTTAAAGACACATCTATTTCGCAAACACTTTCTGGGATGATTGTTAACCTTATTTTCCAGTTAATGCATAATGGCTGTGTTGCTTAGGGTTGAAATGGCTAGAAAGACTTTGTCATTGTATGCTTGTAATTAGTTTTTGTAGTGTTGCGTTTCTTTTAAATGTGGTAAATTGTAGATTTGTTTTTTGTTGACTTTGTACCGCGCTTCGAGCCTTTGGGGATGAAGCGTGTTTTTGAAATGAACTTTATTATTATTATTATTATTAAAAAGGGTGTGTTTTAAGTAGATTAGCAAATTAAAAGAAAGCTAGTAAAAATAAATAGATAATGAAAAGTATTTAATTGATTTTTCACCAGCAATTTTTTAAAAGTAGCTGCTTTTCTTTTCAAAATACTCTAATCAACCATCCACCTAAATACCTGTATGTGACCATCAATATATTATTCTTTTTATATCATATGCAGTCAGGGGGAAGGGGTGTTGTTGGTTTTTTGCATGTGTGCATATGTGGATGCCCAAAAAAGCATGAGTGCAGGGGGAGGGTTTACTATTTATTTTGTATGTAATGTATGGATGACCCCTTACACAAATTTGAGCTAACTAGATTAACAGAAGACAACACAGGACAAAGCACGTCATATAATTTGATCAGTGCCAACACACAGACACAGAGCACTATCAAGTGAAGTTAAATAAAAGCTTTTCACTATTTCTGCACTAGCATCATGAGAAGATAAACAATCAGGGTAGCATGGTCATATTATTTGAGGACATAATATGTGATGGTTAGTTTTTTTACTTTTAGAAAAGCAAAAAGAAAATGTTTTTAATTGTAGGTCCGTATTTGATCAATCGATGTCATTTTCAAACGAGTTCATTATTTACTTATAAATATAAGATAAAAGTCTTAAGGACAAGAAAAAGTAACCCGACCCTCTCTCATTACTTTTTCATAAACATTTTAAATTTTAAAAATTTTACAACTGATTTTTAATCATTTTTAGAGCCTTCTAAATTATAATTTTTAAAAAAGAGTGAGATCCATGACAAGGCAAATAAATTTTTGGTCAACTTACTCTTTGCAGGTCCCCTGAGTTTCTTTTGATGAGTATCTCCCATTTGTTAAGTTGCAGATTTTTACTAGAGTTAACTATTCTCTTTTTTAAAATTAATAAGCCAAGCCAATTTAATGTTTTTGCCAAAACACATGAACTATGGGACCCGGAAAGAGTAAGTTTATCAATTTTTTGGCCTAGGCATATATATAAAAATATACATTTTTATATACAAAATACACATGTCACAGAGTCACATGTTGCATTCACATTCACTAAATGCACATTTTGTATTCACTAAATTTGTATTCACATAATATAGGCCTACAAATTTTGTATTTACAAAACAAAAAAAAACACATTTTGTAGGCAAGAAGGCCTTTCCTACCGAAAAATAATGTGAAAATAAATGGCATGGCATGGTATATTTCACTTCAGGCCCTGGCCATATCTATTGCTTACTATTAATTATGACTACTATTATTGGCACTACTATTGGACATTGACATAGGCTCTAACTTTAATAGTAATTACAAACTAATACTTCAAGTTTCAAATACTCAAACTAACAATGTACTATATAATTATTACTATGCTATTCTGAATTCAATAGCCTACTTTATAAGCTGTAAATTTTAGTTATTTTTATAGTATGAAGTAGGTGAAGTACAGAAAAGTTGAGTACAAAAGACAAAAGTTTAAAGACGTATCATTATAATTCATTATATAATTATATATATTATATATTTATATTATTATTAGTCCATTTTTCCTATATATCAAATAAATTTAAATTAATAAAGATGCTTTAATTTACAGTAATTAATAGTTTGATCATTTGATCACCTGAATTACCTCATTCTAATTCTAAGAGTTAAATATTTAAGTTCAAGCTCACACTCACACAGACTAACACAGTGTTGGTGCCGACAAGAGTTCGCTAAATTAGGTCATGAATTTGCACACACAGAAAGAGTCTCCCAGAGTCTGAAATTTATAGAGTCGGTCTTACGTGAAGAGAGAGCTGAGGAATAAATGCTTCATTATAACCACAAATCAAATCATGTTTTATTTTTTTTAAGTTACCTAAATTACCCAAAGATGTGCTTGACTATCCAGTATCCTTTCAAGTTCGTGGTGTGTTCTGACTTTTCGATCCTACATAGACAAAAGATAAAGCCGTTTAGTCAAAATGACGTCACTGTGCCGGAAACTGGAAATTCTTATTTCATGTCTCATACTACATAGTAGTAGGCTTCAAAAGGGGCGCGCCCCTCCCACGTAGTTTATAATGCGTATTCCACAATGAGCATATTGTTATGAGAATGAGACTAAATGGCGTCTTCTTGTATTAAGTTTTATTGTCAAGAGAAGTCCACTAAGTAATTTTTTTCAATAAAGATAATGAGCGTTTGGTTTGTTTAATTTTAACATGCAATAGTTTCAGTTAATTTTAGACATATTATGATAGTTTAGTCGAACCCCCATCCTTTATTTTTTTATTAACAACTGTCAAATTTTTAAGACCCCCTCCCCTTTTAATACATTAATTTTTTTTTTAATATCCTTAATCCCCAAATATAATCAATTTTAAAAAAGTATATCGGTATTAATAAGTAGGCCTACATACGCACGTGAAACTTGAACCCTAACAGAAATGGTAGAAACCCGAAAGATGAATATCTGTCTACCATCATTTCCAGCTAGCTATTATCTCAAGATGTAAAGTGGCCTGTGTTGTTTATGGTTGCAAGGGGTGAAAGACTTAGAATGGGTATTCTCGTATCTAGCTTTTGTAATGTTGCGTTTTGTATTTCAGTGTGGTAAAATATCGATTTTTGTCATTTCTTTTTTAATATAGATGACTTTGTACCGCGCTTCGAGCCTTTGGGGGTGAAGCGTGATTTTTCAAATAAGCTTTATTATTATTATTATTATACGGATGGAGAATACGAACCAACGAATAATTGTTTAGTCTATATCACAGGTGGATCTTAAGCTCGCGGCCCGCGGGGCATTTGCGGCCCGCAAGGCGATATTTTGCGACCCGATGCCTGACAGCAAAGTTTAGTGTTAATGCAGCCCGCGCGTTTTCCCCATCCTCAGATCTATAATGTAACCCTCCGCGACGGTTTCAGTCGAATCTCACCGTCTAGTCTAATTCTGATTTTTATTATGTTTGCATAAAATTGGACGTCGATTATAATGGTTATAAAAACGTTTTAAAATCGGACTAAGGTTTTTATTTTATAGCATTTTATTAGGCAAACATGACGGTTTGAGAAAAGTTTAAAAAGTCAGTTATTGGGTAATGTACAACCATAATAGTGTAAATTGTAGCAATCTGACACCGTATCGAAGAATCCATATTAAAATTGCCTATAATGTTTACGGGTGAGAGAAATTCCGAGCCTGTCAGCTTGGTCACTTTCTGATTCTGATAGACTACGTTGCTGCAACCAAGTACTGGCATAATTATGTGCAACGGTTTGGGGAAACGATGCGGCCATCCTAACGGCTCCCAGCGGGTGCCAGGGCAGCCTTGAAACTCTCGATTGATTTCGAGTCCACGGCGGCATTGCCCAGTTGGTTCCAAGCAATTATTGAACTGTGTTAAACCGAGGCACAGTGAAGCATTTATCATTGTTCCGGATGTAACTGCTCATGGAGTTGGCAGAGGTGAAGTCAGTGTTTATTGAGCATTTGGCTCTGATTAAGCGACCTGGCTTCTGCGGGGCTAGATACGTGTTAGCTGGAATAGCCGGCACTAGCCCCGTGACCACTTTATATAGGAATGTTAGACGGAGCTTGTCTCGTCTGTCTTTGAGGGAGGGGATGTCAAATCTTTTTAAGAGGTCAGTGACGATGCCAGGAGTGGTGGACTTGTAGTCACTTGAGAGGAAGCGCACTGCGTTGCGTTGTATTTGCTCCATTTTGTACACATCTTGCTTTAGGTATGGGTCCCAGATTATCGCAACATATTCTAGTAGCGGACGGACGAGTGCGCGATAGGCATTTCGTTTGCAGGATGTTGGGCAGTGGCGCAGATTTCTTCGAATGAAAATAAAGTTAGTCAAAAAGGACTTTTCTACGATAAAAAAAAAAATCAAAATTTATTCTCTCTACAGTAGTATCTTCCTTCGCATCAACAATTCATAAATATTGCCAGCTCCTGACCAGGGGCGTAGCTATGGTTAGTGTCAACCGGTGCGGCAAACTCGTGGTGTCCCCCCCTTCCCCCTCCCCCCCATTTCCATGATGTTAAAATAAGTCAACAGTATAACAATGACAAGAAACAAAAACACATAAATTGAAGGACATGTGGTCAATGTATTTAAAAACTGTAACAACGTTAAGTTATAGTTATTTTTACATTAAATTTACTTTATTTAAAATGTTCCTTTCCTGGCCGTCATTATAATTTTGGGCTCAGTTTCCACCACTTATCAAGCCAGTGAGTAACGAATTCGGATGTTGCTTCTGTAACATTAACAGCGAACAATCTGCAGCAAAAAGAATACAATTTCTGACTGACGAGTGAATAAACCATCCACGACTGCAGTATTTTCTCGCCATTTTGCATCATCCTGTAGATCCATTGTTTTGTTAGTGGACGAACTCCTCCTTTAGATTTGGCATCATCCTGTAGATCCATCGTTTTGTTAGTGGACGAACTCCTCCTTTAGATTTGGCATCATCCTGTAGATCCATCGTTTTGTTAGTGGACGAACTCCTCCTTTAGATTTGGCGTCTTCCTGTAGATCCATCGTTTTGTTAGTGGACGAACTCCTCCTTTAGATTTGGCATCATCCTGTAGATCCATCGTTTTGTTAGTGGACGAACTCCTCCTTTAGATTTGGCATCATCCTGTAGATCCATCGTTTTGTTAGTGGACGAACTCCTCCTTTAGATTTGGCGTCTTTCTTTGTCACTACGCTGAATGTACCGTCCTTGTTCTGAAACGAGGTACTCCGTATTTTAATAATTTCAGACCGAAAATAATCTTAAAATGGTACATTCCAGAGAGAAGCATTTGATCAAATTTGCCAGTTTTTGTCATAAACCATTAAATGTACAGTATCTTGGTTTGAATCAACATTATTAGCTGACATTTCTATGTCCAAACCATCCATGTCTTTTACTTGCATTTTCACGTCAATCTTTTCCATTTTTCAACTATTTGCTGCATAGAATGCATGCTGCTGGTATCGAGAGAATCAGTATCAATGGTAGGCTAAAGAACGTCTTTTGATGAACTCTGACCCAGGTCATTATTTGTGTTCTTGACATACGAAGCATGTATTCTGGTAATTGATTTTATTGAGTCGCGTATTTTCTTTATTTGCTTTACAATGATAGAAGGTACTTGGCCGTTTAGCTTTGTGCACGCCGCGAAGCGTGATATAATAATCTTGAACAACAAAAATGCTTTAATTTTGTCGTGTTCAAGACAACAAACAAAATAATAACTGAAGACAACTCAAAAACAACAGTCAGAGCACTGTCCAAAATACAACTCATAAAGGTAGCAGGTAAAACCCAGCAGTCGAAATATGACAAACGTGCTCAAATGTTAAGGGGCGGTACTAGTGACGAATCGGGGAAAATATTAATTTTTCAGTATTTCTGGTTTTCGATATATAATATTATATATGTCTTTAAAAACAAATTAATTTAAATTTAAATAAATAAGAATTTGAACTTTTAATAAAGCACGCATTTGGTTTGGTTACATTTGTGAAAAATGTATGTGTGATCGGTTATCCTTTAATGAATCTCGGTTAGACCAAGCAGGGTGTGCTCTGTAAATATGCAATTTTTCAATTGGGTGTCACCCCTAAAATGGTGTCTCCCGGTACGGTCCGCACCCCGCACCCCATAGCTACGCCACTGCTCCGGCCTACTGTGTGAATACGTTTCAGCCTTCAAAGCCTTCATGGAGAAGGATGGGGTGGTTGTTCCTGTACTAAGTGATCCCAAATGACTCATGGACTTGGCTTTTCTCGTTGACATTACACAGGAGCTGAATGCACTCAACAAGAAGTTACAAGGCCAGGGGCAGCGTGTCAGTGTTGCCTATGACAATGTCACGGCATTCTGCACAAAACTTTTGATATGATTCTCAGAGAAACCTCTGCCATTTCCCAACACGCAAAGTACTCGGGCACACCATTCAGAAGTAAGTATACGGATGCCATTGCAAAACTTCAGGAAGAATTTGATCAACTGTTTGCACACTTCAAACTACACAGAGCGACTTTTAAAAGTTTTGCTGACCCTTTCTCCTTTAATGTAGATAATGCCCCCCTCTCCCCACCCCCCACCCACCATTTTTTTTTTCGCTTCAAATGGAGCTGATTGATCTTCAGGGCAAATCTGAAGTCAAGACTAAGTTCAGGGAGGTGAATGGGAAAACAGACAATTTATGAGAGCATTGCTGTCCACCTTCCCTGAGATTTCTAGATGGTTCTAGCGAATCATGTGCCTTTTGGGGAGTACCTATCAGTGAGAAAAGCTATTTTCCACTATGAAATTTAACATGTCAAAGTTCAGGGCCAAACTTACCGATGAGCAAACTTTAAGCTATACTGAGGGTCTCAGTTGCTTCCTCACTCAAGCCAAATGTTGTTCAGCTGTGTAAGAAGAAGCGTTGCCAGGTTTATGGCAACAAGGAGTAAGAAGAAGAAAGTGAAGCCTAGTTCTTGAGAACCCTTATAGTTTTTATATGTTATTTATGAAGTTTGAGCAGATTATAACAGTTGTACATTATTGAATTTGTCATCGCTTTTTTGTGTGGAATACCTGATGCGGCCCAGTCTCACTCAAACTCTACCTCCTGCGGCCCACGGATAATTTGAGATTGGGACCCCTGCTATTTCAGGATCCCACACTATTAGAAATTTAAAAAAAGGTTAGGCCGGACCATAACTTAATTTACTTGTGTGCCTTAGCTACAGCTACTGTATATACTACGTACCGTTCTTGCTTAGTAAGTGTGGTACGAGGAAGAAAAGTACTTAAAACAACTGACTTTACTATAATTATTGACCAGTTTTTATCAACGGAGGTAAAATAGGTCACATTTAACACTAGTAAGTTTATTTATAAGTTTGAAGAGATGCCAACTCGTGGATCAGGAAACATTTTAGAAGATGTCATCGGGCTCTGGGGACAGGATAGTTATGCCCAATTTAAGTATTTTA